GCCGTTGTCAGAGAAGTTCTGCAGAAGACGTACCTCACAGCAAGACTTTCAGGACGTTCTCTGGTGGTGTTACGTGAACGACTGGAGTCGCGGAGGGATTCACCACCACTTTTCCGGTCCGGTTTTTTTTCTCGAAATTGTTCATTTTTTCAGGCTATCCCTAGAGAACAACCGTCGAGCTGTAGGTCTATAATGCACCTGAAAGAAAAAAAAACCGGGAAAAGTCGGAAAAGCAAAAACATTTTTTACAAAGGAAAATGCTACCCGCTCCCTCCAGCGACCAACTACGAAGCCCATCGACGAATTACGACCCTCCTCACTGTGACGTGCCCTGGACACCACACCAATCACATCGCTGGTTGCAACGTGAAGCTCCCAACCTACATTCTCAAGTTACCTCCCCTTAAACTGAACACTTATACAAATTGGAACCGATGAAATTGGGGCGGGACCGCAACAAGAGTTTGAACTGTCATTGTAGAACTCAAAAGAAACTAAGCTCGTGAAACCTTTTCAAGGCGCAAAACCTGAAAAGGGCAGGAAGAAGTGCATGTCCAGGACATTCTCGGAGTGGAACTATGACGTCAGTCTGTTTTTGTTTGTGAGCTTCAGCAGAGCGTACCTAGCAGACACGCCTAATTTCATCCGCGAAGCTCGAGCCTGTTTAAATCGAAAAGAAAAACAGCCAAAAAAACGTCACGCAAATCAGATGTTGGAGCTTCAAATAATCGAAGTGAGCTGTGCTATCTAATACCATCTGAAGTAGTGAATGCGCTTGCGTTTCGACATATGAAATAAGTGAATGAGCCAAGGGCTAATGTGTCCCGTGCGGTTCCAGATAACCATGTTCATGTCCAGATCGTACTTTGTTTCCGAAAATGGTTCATCAAAGTATACCTGCGTAGGAAAAGATGGAGCCAGATGGAGGCATAATATCGTAAGGAAACTGAAGAAGTAACTCTAAGTTTTCAGACTCCAGCTCAGTACAGTAACCTTTGAAATTTGCTACAGCACGCTTTGATTAAGCACAGCGAATATTCAGGATCTACTTTAAGCTCTCTCGTGGTATCTGCGATTACTGCTGCGAATTTGAAGACACCTCCTACGATGATTTGGGGTGTGAGCAGGGAATGATAACCACAATGCCCACTTTTCACTCTATTTGGAGAGCAGCACCAATAAGAGAGGCAAAACGTTATAAGTCCCCGCCCATTCGATAACCTCGGATTGTGTCTCTAAGTCAAGGTTATCAACTATGAGAGAAAGCTGTGTGCAAAGGCAAAACATACTGAATGTCTGGCGTTGCTATCAAATTTGGTCTCACAGTATTCGTGAGTTCTTCAGGATTGGCATCTGGTAAATCACCGGTAAACCCGCCGGTAACCGGTAATCACTGGTAAACCACACTGCTAAATCTTCATTTTGGTGAGCTGTGACCTTTTAGTGAGCTGTAACCCAGCACTTCTTCAGTTGCTATTTAGAAAAGAAAGAGCGAAGAATTCTACCGAACTCCAACTTCAAATATCAGGGTGTCCGGAAAGTTTTGAGAAATTTCAACCAGCTCATTAAACATTTATTACATCAATAGGGGATAGGAACTCGTAGTTATAATAAACATTGTTCATCCCGATTCCCTTAAGTTTTGGGCTGGGTTACATTTCGTGGGAGCTACAATGAGGTGAGAACCGAGGATGCGGGGGCGTACTCAACATCGTGAAGATTAAGAGGGCGCAGAGTCGTGTGCGCTAACACATCTTTCAGGTTATGTTAACTCATACCAACAATGGAGAGTAACACCAAGCAGGATCAAAATTGCTATGGAAACATTTCTCTTTCACATAGCATTTGATGTATGACTTTGAGTTGAGGCATTCGCTTGCTACACTTCTTCAAAATGGAAGTGTAAAATTTCCTCAAAACTTTCTGGACAACCTAGTAGATTTTTTTTCCGACGCATTAAAGCACGAAAAGGTGCCTGCACGTTGAAGCGATGGAGTGGGCATGGGCGTACTTTACTTGAACTTAGCGTAGGATGCGTTGTTCGGTGGGATATTCCTTTTGATACAAGTGTTGCCCTTTCTTGTACTGGGCAAAAACATGCTTGCAACTGTGGTGAAACTGCAATATCCCTCTAAAAGCGCAGCTGTCGCCATAAACGATGTACGTAGTCACGGACTCTCCACCTCTGGGATACAGAGGTATGTTCACTCAGCCTATTTTCCGATGAAGAATAATAGTTATACTTTTGGAATTGCAGGCGAGAGCCACATGTCGTTGGTAGATTGCAAACGTTACGGCAACGAGGCGGAAGAAACGCTGCGAGTGACGTTATGCGCGCGGCATTCGCATTCGCACCAGCGCCTGAAGGATTAGACATCAGAGTGCCGCAACTCGGCGAATCGGTTTAAAACAAGCTATCCAACACTAGAGAGCCATAGAATAACGAGTGACCTCTACAGCTGATAACGTCGCAATCAGTTAAGGCGGTGTCGGGGAGGGGGGTGGCGAGTGAGCTCGCTTGTGAATGGTTGGTGATCGACTTCGGAAGAGAACAACCAGTGATGAAAACGACGCGGATGGGCTCATACCATCTCTTGAAACTGCCATCCGATACTTTGACCGACGATATCAACTGAACAAAGCATATGATGAAAAGTGTTCGAAGAGACCAAAAAGCAGCCACACTATTGCGGGAACGCTTCCGAGAGCGAAAGTCGCCTGCGTCACAGATTACGGCACTCATTGACAACAAAAACGGCCATAAACAATGAGTGCGTGGGGCGGACTACCCGCAGCAGAACACTTGACCGCAAATTTTTTGAGTTTGAAGTGTTTGGAAAGAGCTCGTACACAGCAGGTCAAGGATCGCAGCGATAAAATCATGGCCTGAGTCTACTGAGAGAAATGATGAGTTCATGTGGAACCAGAACTCCCAATCGGTTTGGTTGATGGGTACAGCTGGATTGAGCGTGCGACCGCAGGACAAGTTTTATGGCTACCCAAGCGACCTTAGCTACCACTGGAACAATTAATACATCCACATCTTTCCTATCCTACCTACCTATCCACCATCTTCATTAATCTCCCCTACTTCACACCACTTTCGCGAGTTTTTTTTCTTTTTTTATTTCGGACGCAGCGGAACGCTTGGTCGACGTCAGCGACCTCCTCCCCCCTCCCTAGTCCCCTCCTCATGGAGCAGTCGAGCGGAGAGAGGCATGTACTACACATGAAACAGGAGGAACCACGAAAAATCAAAGTTCCCTCAGAAGGCCACAAGACAAATACGACCCACCTCTCCCAAAACGAGCATATACGACCCCTACCTCACCCTCATAGCGTCCCTGAAACAAGAAAAATCAACTGTCAAAAACATTCTGTGTCCCAATGTCACAATTTTTTCTCCAAAAGCAAATACGCTCCTTCCATCTTCCCCCCCCCCCAGCAGCGAGCCAGTATGAGCCCCCCCCTTTATAGCGTCCGTGAAACAACAAACATTAAAAAGACGCTCTTACTAAATGCCACCCAATCGCTACCCCCACCAAAACCAAATCGACCAGCCCGTACGAGCAGGACACCTCCATGTGCTTTGGAGATTTCTGAGCATGATGTCTGTACGACCGGGCCCTAGAAGCTTGCTTGATCCGACCCCTCCCCTCTCAATCCTACTTTTTTCGAATCCCGAGAATTATCCTACTTTCTCCCCAAAATTTTGCCATCAAGCAGGTGCGGGGGGGGGCTGTTTGTGAGACAGAAAAACCGAAAATACAATAATAAAGAATACAACCGAGAAAAATAGTTCCCCAACGCTGCGACTTTCCTCTCCCAACAACGAGCAAATACGACCTCTCCCCGCTTACAGCGTACGTGAAACAAGAAAAATCAACTATCAAAAAAATTTTCTTAGACTAGTACGACCCCCTTCTTCCCCAGCGACCAAATACGACCTCCCCCTGTTGAGGAATACCCAACGATGATGGGTCCTGGGTGTGGACCCCTTCCCCGTCTCCACGCTACCTACCATCTTCAGTTTTCCCCACTTCCCACCACTTTCCCGGAGTTTTTCCCGAAACAGCAGGAGGAGGGGTCATGGGTAGAGATAGCAATACATAGCGCACTTGAAACAGGAAAAACTAAGAAATATCAACAGCTGGAGATTTCTTTCTCAAAGTAAACAGACCCCCCTCTCCCAGCAACGAAATACGACTCCCTTCGTTGGTGATCGTCAATATTTTAAAGGTGGGAGGTCTCAATGGACGCGCTCCACCGCAAATCGCGCGCCGTGTCGCGTTTGTTTGGCAAGAAGGTAATCTCCTTTGTCTTCCCACTACAATTTAGCCAAATTGTACTTTTCTTAATACTTTTTGTATCTAGTTTAGGTTTTTCCTCAATTATTAGGGTCTGCACTGGTTTGCAGTGTGGGCAACTATATATTTGTTTACTAATGCTGTTTTTCAGGCATTTGTTTTCGTCTGCGTTTAATGAGCCATCCGCCGAAGGCAAAAAGTGAGTCGTCTTTAATGATCATACGCTTGGTCGGGCATGCATATGAAGCATAATAGCGATGTTTACGTAAGCTTTGCATCCATACAAAAAAATCTACGACGTTATTTGCAGATGAGCAATCAAACGGCGATTTTGCACAACCGCTTGAGACCAAGGTGGGCGGTTTTCGAAGTCTGGGAGCATCGTCTCTGCCTCAACTAGATTTCCAGCGAGACATACAGATTTTGGTTCAGGTGTACTACTATCTAGACGATGACGCGACTCCGTTTGTATCAGTTCTACCGGTACCTCCCGACTTGGCCACTCTGAGAGATTTCAAGAAAGTGTTTACCAAAAAAGGATTCAAGTATTTCTGCAAAGGCTTGGACGCAGATATAAAACGGTATGTGGAACATTCACGCAACAGGTGTTTGAGCTGTAATTTATTCTATTTTGTTTACTTGATTGTTTATTATATTGACTCTTTGACCGCGTGGGACCACTCGTGTTTTTTCGAACCCCTCGGCATGATGCGTATACGAATAAAGCGCCCCACGATCAGCATTTTCAGAATTCGGACCAGTAAACATTTCAAGAGCTGTAATAATGGAAGCTTGGCCACATAAATGAATGATTCAAGAAAGGCCCAATTTCCCACAAGTTGGCTAGGTTTCTCCAACTACCACAACTTGTAGAGCCAATCTCCAGTGGGCTTTAGTTATCGAATCTTGAAATCAATCCTTAGAAGCGTTTATATTCGCGATCTGGTCTCTGACTACACGACGACCTGGTCGCTCTGATAATCCGTACGGCACGGCGCCGGTCGCTAGTTCACGCCATTAGGCAGCGTTCAGACTTCGCGACGGCAGCGCTTCGGTCGCGCGTTCGACGCGATCGATGCAGTTGAAAGCATGCGCATCGATCGCGTCGAACGCGCGACCGAAGCGCTGCTGTCGCGAAGTCTGAACGCTGCCTTAGAGGAGCGAGAGGCACCAACGCGTTTTATGAGAACAAGTTTTTCACTTCAGTTTTGATGAAGCGCCATTCATTATTTCCGACGACTCAACTTTGTAATAACTGTTAGAAAAACTCGTTTTGATATTTCTACGACTTTTTGTGATATTTGTACAATATTTTTTGGGTATTTTGCTGTTTCGGAGTCTCATTTCATCTGAATGTGTGAGAACAATGTGAAACTCCAATGTTTATTCCAAAAAAAACTTAAAAGACATCAAAAGTCTCGAAACTTTTTTGAAATGAATTAGGTGAAACAACTATTTTTCTTGATTGAAGTGTACTTTGTTTGATCAAACTGTTTTTTTAGCGAAGTGAAAATCGAACTCACGGATGATTCTTCACCTCTCAAGCGTTCATCGAATGGTCTTTTCGAGCTGTTTCTCCACAGCTGTGGCGGTACAGTGCCGCGTTCCGGGACTCTTCCTCGAAGAGGACAAAACGACTACATGTGCGATGTAGATCCAATAGATAAGGTTAGGCCACCATTTCGGAATGAAGATGTAGAAATTCACTCCTACACGTGTTTAACATTTGATGTTAAGAATATCTATTTTTTTCGTCTGATCTGCGTCCAGGCTCTGCTAATTAACTGCATCATTCAGTCAAATTGACAAATGTAATTTGGATTACATGCTGTTTTCTCGCACAGATGCATGGAGGATGAAAAAAACAGCTGATTTGCCAAGTTCGCAAAGCTTGGACGCAATCTAATCGAATTGTGATTTTAACGATATCCAAAAATCGATTATTTTTTATTTCATGCCCAGCTTAATAGAATTTGATCTAGCGAGGAAGACGCCGTTCTCTAGCTAATCTGGATTTGCTTGACGCTTCTGAAAGTACACATCCGGCCAGCAGTGTTGGAGGGACCATCGTCAGCAGTACGTTCCGTCATTTTTGATATAATTTTTTGCAGGTCTTAATCTGTTATATTCCCAAGGTCGGGGATACTCATCGCCAGTGACACAGCAGTAATGACCTGTCAATCAATTCACTGATTTTTTATCATACTGCGCATTGACCCTTTGATGAAAATTATTATTAACAAGAGCACGAGGATACACTTCAAAAGTGAAGCCTTTTTTGGTCACACAATATGAGTAGAAGCCGAATAACAAAAAAAGGATAAAATCTTCGCCGTCGGTCTTTCTCAGAGATGCTGAACGCATTCTACTTCCATTCGGAATCGTAGTGATCGACTTTTGGAGGCCACCCGATGTGCAATTCATTTCTCATTGTCCCAACGAGTCTTGTGCCAATTTAGGGGTAGGAGGTTTTGTTGGCTTGGGCACGAGCCGATCCGGGATTTGACCACCGGACCGCGTGCGTGGTTGGCACTTCACTTGCTACTAAGCATGTTAGCCTCTTCTCTATAATACAAATCTGTTACGAAAATTATTAAAAACACGAGAATCTATTACAAGAATGAAACTTCTTAGGTCAAACAACTGATGAGCAAATACTAATAATAAAAAGAAAGAAAAGTAGTTCTTCAGGAAGTACAGGTTCAAAAACGACTATTCCAGCGAAACTTTTGCAGCTTCATATATACAGGAATGAATTTGAATCGTTTCGTAGGTGGGAAGGAGCACCGCACACACGATCAGCAGGTCAAAAGTATGTCAAATCTCGGTCGGTCCAGAGATCCATTGATACCGATCTCATCAGCGGTAATGAAAGCATTAACTTGTACATCACTTTGCGAATGGGAGTGGAATGCGTGGCGCATCCTCGTAGGAATTGATTGATGCCGGCAGCTTTTCATTGTATGCTATGGCTTCTTTCCTTTCAGAATTGAATTGCAGTGAAATGAAAAATGCTTTTACACTTATTATATAGGATTATGTAAGACTTGAATTCTGATATTCCATTATTTTTATTTTTTGCGTATTCCATATCAGTCGAGTTCCAATTGCTTCATGTTCAGGGCGAGCAGGAGAACATCTTGCTGAACTCTATACTTCTAATTCGGAGAACTTTTACAAGTACGACGATTCAGCTAGGTTGGTAATCTTCTATTTTACAGATAGCATAGCTGGGAAAATAGTTGTTCTACCGCGTACATAATTCCATTACATCAATGGTTGTCAGAGAATCGCTGCCTGAAATATTTTTGGAGAGCCTTCAACGTGTAGTTGAGGAAAATCTAAATAATTGTTAATTCAAGATTTTCGGCAACGGCTTCCTCATCGCTTTATGAACCGCTATGCGCTAATGGTGGGTACAACGATGGAGGGAAAGTGCGAAGACGGAAACCACGTAAAGAACGCTTCAGAAAGGCGTACGTACCGAGCACAATCAGTTCAATCACAGAAAGCAGGTGCGTGGATTGTTTCATAATACTCATTTTTTTTCGTGCAAATTGCTATCTGGAATGATATGGTTCAGCATGACTAGTCTGTCTCTTCCGCGGATCCTTGAAGTGAATCTGTCAATGAGGTCAACACCATATCTCGGTATATCCGTGGGAAGTTTCCAGGGTAGCATACTGGTTAGCGAAATTTTACCTGGTGAGTATATCAAACTAGGTTACGGTGTGTTAACTAGATATATGAGCCTTTCACCTTGACTAAAATGCCTGACAAGGAGTCTGGTTTTGGAAATAGACGTTATTTTTCACAATAATTTCAGACGGTGCTGTTGCAAAGGACGGTCGTATTGAAGTCGGTGATCAGATCGTTCAAGTTAACAACCGATCATTCGAGAATCTGACCGAAGCACAAGCTGTCCGAGTGCTTCGTGAAGTGGCCGCAGCTAAGAAGTTGGTTTTGTGTGGGCATGAGTTAATCTTTCCAAGCGAGCATTTCTCTGAGCTTTTACACATTGACGACCATGCGCGTTTTGACCTTTTTGAACGCATGAGACCGCGCATGTTTTCTCGAACGCAAAGCGCACTTACACAAATGGAACGATTACACGAAGTGCATTTGAATTCGAATTGTAAAACATGTTTCCAAGAGCTGCAAGAATGTAAGCTTGTCTACATGAAAGGATGATCCAGGAAATTCTAACTAAATGACGATATCCAGGGCACTGTTTACGCTTTTCAAAGTTTCAGTGCAAACTAGGATACTGTTTACTCTTTACTGCCCCCAATTTTCCACAAGTCGGCTAGTTTTCCACCGAAATTTCAATCAGAAGACAACGAAAGTTTTATTTTGGCGTATAACTTGCCTCCAGGAACTTGCCAAAACTGAACCACAGGGTCTATGTTGTGATCCACAGAGACCCTGTGGTTCAGTTTTGGCAAGTTCCTGGAGGCAACTTACTTTCCAGACCTTTGCTGAAGTTCAGCATATTGATTTGCCCTCTGGACCACTTATTTGCGAGTAAAATGAGTAAGGAACTATAGTATAACGATATAAAAGCCCAAGTTAAAAAACCATGCATTCTGTGCAAACGATAATAAGGTTCAATGACCGTGGATCGTATACAACTGACGTGTTCCACGTGCTGCTAGTGTTAACTTCATGTGAGTCACGCCGGCTCGTCAAAACAAACCGTGTTTGAGACTCATCGATTTTATATGTCATGAACTTGACTTTACACATTCTTATAAAATTAAGTTGTAGCTTTGTTTGTTGTGTCGCGAAAATTCTCGCAGGCAAACGATGTATGATCCACTTATCAACGCTTGCCATCAGAAAAACGCTTCCACTCGAATGCTCACTCTGGGTTCAAACCGCCCCGCGATATGTGTATTTTTGAAGAGTATCGTTTCCTTTTTCCACTTGTGCTGCTGGTTGCGTTTCCTGTCACCAGTCTTTGCCCAAAATTTTAATCCTATGGTCCGACAATGCCCGTCCGAAAGACAGCGCATTGTCGCAGCGAAAGAGGGTTAACTGATTGAGCTGACACAGACATTGACGAAAACACACTAGGCCACTATGAGCACGAGACTGACTCATGAAGAGGTCGTCGAATCCGCATATCGCTCTGCGCATTCGCTTGCAAAAAGCGATGCTAGTACCATGTTACTCCTCGTTCTGAAAGTTAATTTTCTATGCCTATTTAGTATGTGAGCTAGTTTCAGGAGCGAGCGCTTTACGAACAAAGACGTCACGGTGTGCCTCCGCTTAACGTTGAGGAGCTGGAAAGGAGACGAGAAAATGAACAAAATATGCGTGCGATGTTATGTTTCTTTTTAGTCGCTACTTATCCATAGCACTGTTTGTTCTTTACTGCCTTACTTGTCGAGATTCTAGCCAGATTTTGGTCGCAGTTTCCCTCCAAAGGTGGATTTAGGTTAGGAACTTTTGTCCTACTGACTACTTCACTCCTGGTGCGCAACACAGTCACTGTCAGCGGTATAGCACTAAAACTTGGCTTGCCTAGCGCTAGTCGCGGGCTGCTACGGCATTAGACGCCGCCAAAAGCGCCGATGTGACGCCATACGGACGAAATTCTGGGCGAATAGGGCCTAGCATTGGGGCGAAACCGGTGAATAAAGCCCTTCTCTTTCCTATTGCTTATATTTGGCTTGATTAAAAGAGCCACATTAATTACTGTTGTCAGCGTTACTATAATAGTGAGTACAGTTTGCTACAAGTAGTCCTCGAGGAGAGAATAGAATTTGCAGTTCGAGGACTACTTGTAGCAAACTGTACTCACTATCAGTATGAAATCCGAAATTTCAGAGCATAAGGCCACACAACGTCTGTCAATAACAATGGATCCTGTCATAATTTTGAGAGCATTAGCAAGGCCAGATTCTGGACTGCAGGTGAAAAATAGGAAATGGTTGAAAATCCTGGTACCCATGTCATTTATAGGTAAACTTTTGATTTGCTTCCTGAATTTATTTCTACTGTATTACTGTGGATACTAGGCCGAGATCTCGTTGATTGGTTGTTGGAGCACGTCGAAGACTTAAGCGATAGAAAGGCAGCCCGTCATTATGCAGCCGAATTGTTGAAAGCTGGACTTATCCGTCATGTGGTCAGCAAGCTGACATTCACTGAAAAGTGTTACTACGTTTTCGGTGGTACGTTTTTCTCAGTCACTATATTCAGTGCCCATTCAGTATTGAGGCGGAGGTGGTGTAGGGAGGCGGAGGTGGTGTAGTGACAAGTGGCGCGCTTACCACTCGCGCGGCGCCGGGTTCGAATCCCGGGTCGACACCCGCCCAGGCCAACCAAGCCTTCTACCCTCCGGGGACGGTAAATTGGTACCAGATTCGTCTGGGAGGATAAAACACTGACTTGTACGGGCCACCGCAAGTCATTGTATAGGCCACATCGCATTCAATAAGCCACTACGATTCTGAATGGAAGTAGAATGCGTGCCGCATCCCACAAAGGGATTGATCAACGGCGAAGAC